AGAATACAGCATGGAATGCCAGTCAACTGTATACCTTATGTTTATCGCAGTGGAGATCTACGGCACCGCACTCAACGTAAAGAACAAGATCCGGATTTCAACACCAATGTCAGTGAAGCCAGTGCTTCTATGGGAAGGTTGAGAGACTTTTAGCTTTACGAAAAGCATTTCCAGCAAACTACAGTCATACATGAATAGCTGTTGCCAAAGGTCACTCAATACTGAAGATCAGATGGCCAGAAAGAATAAACAAGGAGGATCTCTGACCTGCAACGAACTGACGAACCAACAACCCATCGCCCAACAAATATTCAGAAGAAGAAAGTGAAGGTGGATTGTACAAAAACTGGGACGACCGTTTGGTGTCATCACGCGCCAGTTCAGGCCATAGATCGAGTCCAGATGGGAAATGACGAGTTTGGCGTCCAATTGTGACATAGAGGAGATGGTATGAGGAGGAAATGTAAGGTTATAGGTAGTGGTGGAGCCAACTACAGGCGGCAGTGGCACAGACGAGGATGTCAAGACCAGTCAGAATCGGAAAAGCATGACAGGCGTTCATTAGCCTGAAACCAGTGTGGAGATCTTCTGCACTACACTGCACTGCACTGTACTGTACTGCACTGCACTGCACTCAGCATAAAGCCTGAACAAAATCCCGATTTTCAACACCAACTCAGTCAAGTCAGTGCTTCTGTATGGCTGAGAGACTTGGCACGTTACGAAACGGATTTCCAACAAACTACACACATTCATCAACAACTGCCCCCTACACTGGCTCCTTACTGAAGATCACATCACATCAGGTCAGATCAGATCAGATCAGATGAGATCAGATGGCCAGAATAATAAGAATGAGCAATAAGGAAGTCTGGTATGACGACGAACCAACGAAGCAAGAAGCTGTTGCTCAACAAATATGCAGTGGAAGGAAGTGGAGATGGATTGAATTGGCCTACACTGAGAAGGCCGACTGGAGACATCAGGTGTCAGGCGTCAGGTCAGGTCAGGCCAGGTCAGGCAGTTGAGTGGAAGCAAGATGGGAATTGACGAGTTTGTTGTTGGAGGTGAGGGTGAGGTGGAGTAGATGGTGTGAGGAAGGAATGAGAGGTTGTGGGCAGTGTTGGAGCGAGGTTTAAAAGATTTGAGAGAAGAGAGTGTAATGGAGACGTGGTAGTGAAGCTGTATGTTCCATTCGGAACCCAAGGGACAATTAATATTAAATAATATTATTCACCAATGGGATGTTCTCCCTAGTTTTTACATCATGTAAGGCTTTTCATGATTTGAATATACAGAAAAAATATGGGCGACTTTGAAGGACACTCTGGTAACTGATCAAACAGCTAATTATATTCCTTCATTTTATCGAAGAGTACTTTTCCCTGACGAAATGCAGAAGCCTGATTGGTCATTTCCGCAGTTTCTAGGGTGGCCATTGAAGTCACTCAAAAAATATTCAGTATAGTTGACCTACCAAATTACGAAAATTTAATGAATTCAGAACAAAAATTATTCCATAGAACTATTGTTTTCAATAGCTTTCACTTTGCAGTCATAAGTCCATGAGAATAAGTCATAATGTGAGATTATTTCAGTATGTAAACAGTTAGTCAGTGGTATGGGTAAATGAAGGTCAAATCAAAGAGTGACTTTAAAAAACGCCCTAACAACTGACTCAACAACCAGTCACATTTCTCCATTCTATGAAAAATGGTCTTAGCAGACGAAAATCTGTAAGCAGCAACCACTGAGTCTCCGATCTGGTGCTTTACCAACTGAGCCACGAGGTCCGACTGCTGACCTAAGGTTTTGTTCACCTCCCATGTGAATTCGTGATGCGTTACTATCACTTAAGAGCCCTTTTGGGTGAAGACACTGACAAGATGCAGAGTCTTCTGAACACTTTGAGTGGGAATTTGAGAATATTTGAGATGCGTTTCTCACCACCCAAATGTAAATTGTTGCTCAAGGATTGGTCTTCAACGGTGCCACGTTAACGATAGAAAGTGAAGTGATTGAGTGTGTTGACCACTTCAATTACCTTAGAAGTAGGATCGGTCCTTTCCTGGTGCGTTGATAAGTGACCGATGAAGTCTCTGTACGAATACAAAAGGCTCGATTGGCTTTTGCCAATTTACGCCACCTATGGAGCTGCCGTTATATCCGATTGTCTACTAAGACTCGCGTATACTGAACAACAGTCCGGTCTGTTCTACCGTAGGGCTGTGAAACATGATCATTAAAGGTGGAAGACATGAGAAGGTTTCAGGTGTTTGACCACCACCGCCTTCATAGTATAGACCGTATTCCGTATTATCACCACGTGAGTAATGTAGAAGTCAGGATTAGAGTTTTAAGGAGTAGAGGTAATTCAGTAGACGAGTTTATTAACATTCATCGATTGAAATGGTTGGGACACGTACTACGTATGCCTAGTTGCTGATCGCCTCGTCACACAATGTTGGCTGAAGTAGGTCCACGCTGCATAAAGAACTGAGGTGGCCAGACTAAAACATAGCACCAATGCATGCAGTCTCTGACTGTTGGTTTAAGCCATATGGGGCGATGCAGACTAGGTGGTTGGGGTCGGTGGGACAAGAGGAACGAGTGATTGGAGACTGTAGGTGATCATATGACTGAGAAACAATGTCAGTGGCGCAGATGTATCCTCACACACATCATCCTCATCTTAACAACGCTATATCGAATCTCACCATTTTCTCATTTTTCCTTTCTCTCTTTCTTTGAGTACTTCATATTTCTTTTGACTGAATTTTTTTGTTTTTCATCTTCAATTTTCTTGTCTTGTTACTTGATGTACTGATATGAGGTGTGGCGGTAACTCGGACCGTTACGTAGTAATGCCTGGTCTTATGTTGATAAATGACGATGGTGATGACTATCACTTGACCGTACTCATAATGTCTGCCCAGATAGGACTTCTCTCCCCAAGCCAAATCTACTTGAAGTAGAGAGAGGGAGCATCATATTGATTGATAATATGACTGTCTAAGATAACCGTAGTTTGGCAGAGTTTTTTTGTCTGGGATATAAATATGTGGATGTATGTATACTAAAGGTCAAATAATCACTACGTATCGATGAGTTATTTTCGAGAAGGATGAAAAGTCGCGTGAATACACTTACTAAATAATATGTTACAAATTTGAAGTGTTACGTCATCCATTCCGCTAATCAACCTGGTACATTTTCACTAGCACCCAAGAATAGAACCCTTTAAGTACGGTCGACAACAGTAGTTGAACTCGTAAATACACACTTATGTCGCCAATACTGTTTATTTGATACTGCATACAGTGTGATACAGAATTATTTACTTGATAGCGTTTTCAATATAAATTATTGCTTTGATTTAAAAGTTTGTAGGGAATTTATTTATTTATTTCAGGTTAACATTCATTATGAACTAAAACTGGACAACTAGGAACACTGCATAGCTGTTTCATCGTTAGCAGTGCGAAACTATGACCCCGCCAGAGATCGAACTCAGGTTCATCAGGTTCTGCGGTCAGCACATTATCATTGAGCAACTGCATCAGAATCCAATGGTATATGTTTCCTACTTTCGACCTGAAATCAATGAATAAATTCTAATGAACGCTCATTAGTGACCAGCTTCTAAAGGTGATTCTCAAATTTCTAATGAAAAGTCGTAACTAGCAGGGTCAGACAAGTCGGACGTGAAGACACTTACTCAACGACATCATTAGATAAAGTTCGCACTCCACTATGAACTGAAAGAAGTAGGAAATGTGCATCATTAGACCCTGACCCAGTAGTTGAATGGCAACGTGTTGGCCAAGAAACCTGGAGATCCTTGGTTCGATTCCTGGCTGTATGTGGTCATAAGTGCGCACTGCTGAGGATTCCCATGCCAGGAGAAACAGCTGTCCAGTGCTCCCATGTTTTCAATTTTTCTGAAACTAATGTCAGTTCACGATGAATATCAGCCTGAAATCAACAAACTGTTGCCCATAATCACATCATAGTGATAAAGCAGTTTTCGACATTCAATTTTTTAATTGGTTCTATCACCTCGTATTCTTTGTTTTAAGTGGTAGTAGAATTTTCCATGTCTCTGGTATAGGTGTTACGTCATTCTCACAATATGAGTTGTGTGTTGATTCGATCAACAGAAATCTAGTAATCAATCTCTGCCTACCCACCCACCTACTTACTTACCCATCAACCAACACACCTACCTACCTACCTACACACCTACCTAACTACCCACCTACCAGCACACCTACCTACCTAAATAGTTATATTGGACTTCAGTAAAGTTACTTTATCCCATTCTTGATGAGACTTATGAACTAGGCGTTCAAATATATAAATTAAACCATCCAACTGTGGATGAGATGGACTATCGGACCCACTGAAATCAATAATCTGGGGAAAATTTCCTTCTTCACTGAACAACTATGAAAATCAGACGTCGAAAGTTGTGTGATCACTGTGATATGATTCGGAGGAAAAATTTATGCTCGAAACGTCATCAAGTAAATAATACTGTATCACTGTGGTCTACATATCAAATAAACAAATCCAATGGGAAATTATATTTGACCACAATGTTCAAGTGTTACTTTTATATTCAGGAAACTGGATTTTATCACGACTAATAGATTAAACATAGCTAAGGAAGCTCATGTCGATTTCATGTTGTATCTCAGGGAAACTATCCTTTGCTGTCATTGCTTGCTATGTTGCCTACACAAAGTGAGAATCAAACATTCGTCGGTTTAGTCAAACTCGATATAAAACAAAACGTTTCCAGTCAGGCGTTACTGTACACATCTAGATGAAGTCAAATATTTCGAAATGGAATAGGCTTTCATAAGTTTATAATTGGCAGTTATTCTGTTTGTTTGTTTTTTTTGCTGACAGTATTGTCTAGCGTTAATTTCAATGTTTCTTTATCTTGCATATGTTTAAATATTGACCTATGTATCTATGTATGAACTAATTTTTAGAAGCGATATTTCCATCTACTGGTTCCGTGGAGTTGTACTTTACATCACACCGAGAATTACTCACAGGTAATTATCACTTTATAAATGTTGAAAGTATGAAAAAAGGGTCCTTTTGAAATAATGGCGAATATTTGTAGCTCAGGTGGATGATCTTGATTGTATTGTGTTATCTGAGCTAGGTTATTTGATCGTGAAGCTTTCATCGTCTCTCTCCTAGACGACATCATCAGTACTAACTTCAGTATGAAGTGAGCTGTCAATATCTCTCCATCAGCGTTTTAGTGGCATACCTGCTGGCTGTTTCTCTGCTTGACCTCTGACCTATCTGTCCTTTATCATCTTTCTTATTGGTTGATAAATTGGATCTATGCCTAAACATCTGTTGATTGCTGACTGACTTACCTGAATGCCAAGCTTCTAGGAATTCTCTGAAAGTCTATGTAGTCAATGACACAACAATCGAAGGAAACAACCAGTAACAGACCATATCGTCAGAGCAAGCCACTAAATCACTCACAGAGAGATATTGACAACTCACTTCATACTGGAGTTAGTGCTGATGATGTCGTCCAGGAGAGAGACGATGAAAGCTTCACGATCATACAACGCAACTCCTTAGAGAACACAATACAACCAAAGCGTCCTTTTCCTAGTCAATTGATGAGAAATATGTAGAAAATATTTAGAAACGAAGTTTATGATGATGTTTTTATTTTTTTAAAGTTGATATTCTTCCTCAAACGATATTATTCGAAGAACCATTGGATACCTGAGAGCACTACACAGTTGTTTCATCGTAGCCTAATACTGCACAGCAGTGATCGTTGGTGACATCAACTGCTATTGAACTCATGACAGTGATATTAATCCATTCATTATAGAGATGACGCCAATGTTTGAGCTTTCTAGTTAAATATGTAGGATAATAGTCAGTTTATTGTAAGATCCAGTACATGAAACTATATAAAATTATAGTATATATAGACTGATTTCGAAAGATAACTGTTTTCAAACTTTGTTATACTTTCTCCGAATATGTTGTATATTTAGTCTCCTTGAATAGTTTCAATGAAACAAGAACAAAGACATTTGCAGAATAAAGTGAACTCATTTTCTTTCACCACCTCTCATCAGCCATATATGGCGACTACAACTGAAAAGAAATAAGACTGACTGAGAGAAGAAATATATTCCTTTTCAATTACGTCTTCATCTTAAGCTCTACACTACTATAGAGACTTACAATTTAATCAAATTACCAATCACGTGGTGATGTTTTGGAAATAATGAGGTAAATAATCAATAGAGTTACTGAAATTCAGAATAATGAAGCAGGTTACTCTCATGAAGATGGAGTGATTTTTGATGAGTATTCAGTCATTCACAATGAGCGATTGCGCAATAGGAAGAAGCCAAATGAATATTGATCGAAACAAGTAGGGAGGCGGGAAGAGGTGTACAAAGTAATACTGGAAGTTAAATCATATTGACGTCCATGGTAATGAAAGTGGTCAAACAAACTTCTTTTAGATACAAAGGTTAGGTTGGTAAATGATGGATTACAATCTCCTCTGCTATGTGAAGTAAGCGAGTGCATAATCCATATAGTAAATTAATTGGAATGGGATGAATAATTTTGAAGGCTTTTCTAGTATCCACCTGTTGTCCACTGCCAACTACGTATGCCAGTATAAAGCCCTTTATTGTTCTAATTTGTCCCTTGCTCAACCATGACGACTGGGGCTCAGAAATTTGATGATGGAACTGCCTCATTATACACCCAATGTAACTAACTCCACAGCACCAGTTCAATTGATAAATGCACATGGAAGTTGCACCCAGAATCGGGAACTTCATCTTTATTTCCTACACCTAGAATTCCACGCTTGTAGAAGATGGGACTCAATTTAGCAGCTGTGAATGCTTTATCCAAAACTCTTTTTATGTGTTGTCCGACGATCTCGCTGGTGATGTCACTCTTGAATTTCAGCTTCAAGAAGATTTGCTCCCCAGGAACTGTTGATTTTCTTGTCTTAACCCTCGTAGCATTCATCTACTTATTTGCAAACTTGTCTGGATAGCCATTCCTACTAAGCAGATTGTGTATGCTGGTGAACTCTTCCTTTATAGCATCATCTGAGTAAATAGTTGTGGCATGGCATGGTAGATATTTCACCAGGTTCCCTTTGCATTTGAGGAATGTGGCATTAAAGAGGTGAGTGGACTGTTCTGTTGATGTTGGTTTTCTATATACACTTGGTTTCGGAGTTCCATCTAACCTTCTTACTAGCAGAACCTGAAGAAATGGGATACTGTCGTTTTTCTTTTTCCATTGTGAAGTGGATTGCCGGATGGACGCTACTGAACTTATTGAGAACAGCATTCCTATCAGTCTCACTTTTGAGAATTACAAAGGTATCATCCATGTAACAACAATATAATTCTAAACGGCTAATAGTTACGTTCAGTTGAAAACTCTCTAATTTTGCCAGAAAAAATCTGCTAAGAGTGGACCAGAGGGTGATCCCATAGCTAAACCACCAGACTATCTGTGGAGTTCATTGTTGAAACGAAATTGTGCATTCATTGTACATTTCAGAAGTATTTCTTTCAATGTGAAGCCTGGAAGACGTATTTTCATGCCATACTTCGTGAGTTCGCTGCAAATAAATTCGAATGTCTCCATTAAAGGGACGTTAGTAAAAAAGGATGAAATATTACACGATATCAAATTCTCAATCTTTTCAACAAATTCAAAGGTATCTTCAACACTGTACTTTATAACTTCTTTGTGGAGAGGCTTCATGAGTTGTACTAACTATTTTGCTGTTGTATGGTACGGAGAGCTTGTCATGTACAGAACTGGTCGAAGAGGTAGACCTTTTTTGGTAGACCATAAATTCTAGGTGAAACGGTTCCAGTCGGTTTGAGCATTTTGAAGGTGCTTTCTGAAATGAAACCCTGTTGATTTTTATTTTTCAGTGATTCGGTTCGTATCAATATTCATTTGGCTTCTTCCTATTGCGCAATCGCTCATTGTGAATGACTGAATACTCATCAAAAATCACTCCATCTTCATGAGAGTAACCTGCTTCATTATTCTGAATTTCAGTAACTCTATTGATTATTTACCTCATTATTTCCAAAACATCACCACGTGATTGGTAATTTGATTAAATTGTAAGTCTCTATAGTAGTGTAGAGCTTAAGATGAAGACGTAATTGAAAAGGAATATATCTTTTCGCTCAATCAGTGTTTTTTCTAAAAGTCTATTTGGGAATATTCAGTGTACCGACATGAAATAATAGTAGTAGTGGTGGTGGTAATGATATAGCATGCCTTAATTTAGCAGAAATTTATAAAGATTTGGAATGCAGAATTGCCGATAAGGCAATGAATCTAGGGGACACATCACTGGTAATCCCAATGCTAAGTCTAAATCAGTGACAATTTATTTCTGATGAGGTTATGGAAAGGGGGGCTGTTAAACACAAAGCAGTATTAAAGGATGGTTTGTTACAAAACAAGTAGATTACGTAACTACGTGAAAAATCTTGAAAAAAGTTAGGCTGAGTGATTAATAGTCAGTAAGTAACTAATGAATTGATGATGCAGCCAAGAAAAGGAGAACTATTTGCAAACACATGCAGAAGTTATCCACAGCTGTCAGTTACCCATCATCATACCCTCCCGGGACCCTCTGATTGTGTAGCCAGCAAGTTACCGTTAAGCCACTGTGTTGGAATTCGACGCTTCACATTGTTCTGCTTCCGTCAGCTCTTAATGTAGCGTAACCATAATCCAACGCCAACATTTACCCCGCCGGCCACCATTATGACTTTAGGAATCTCATCTCAATGGATAGCGTATGCTGGAGAAAGATATATACATACACTTATAGGATCAAAGTCCCTTCAGAAGATAACAGTCTTCTGGATATATCACTTATTTCCTATCTTTCTCCCCAATGTTACTTGACTTGGGATCGCTTTAATTTTTGTAATCCTACCGTTGTCAGAAAATTACTCCGTTCTGCATCTGTAAGTTATTGTAAACCAAGAGAAACTGGTGTCCCATTTCATTTCAGATAATTAGTTACTCATTAATGGAAGAGAATTTGACATCCATCGGGCTGTGATACATTACTGGTGGTATTAGTAGTAGTTGTAGTACCATCAGTCCTTACTATTAAGGCAGTATTCATAACAAACTGACATTACTTGGGAAAGCATTGAAAACCTAGGAGACTGCTGTACAGTTCTCCTAGTCGACGATGAGTATTTATTTATTATTGTTACTATCAGAACGTAGACGTGGCACACCAAGAGGACGAAGAAATGCCCCACACAAAATAATATAACAACATTGTGAAGACATAAAGCGATGGGAACTGTATAAGTAAGAAAGAAAAACACAATAAGAATAGCTTAACTAGAAGGACACTTCAATAAGATACATTCAGAACATAACATTCACTAGTTTTCAGCAGTAGAAGATAGGAGGAAGGTAAGGCAGAATCACCACTGGTCTCAATTTTGAGCCATATCTGACAACGTCACTGAATTTCGTGGTCTCTAGGATGCCACCAAGTGAGTCGTGATCAACCAACAAATGATAACCCAGTACGACTATCCTTCATCCCACGGAACCGCATCATACATACACTGACCACCCCTCCTCTTCTTTCATCCAGTCTCAGGGATGAAAGACGTTGGAACAACGTGCTTAACACATATCCAAACCATCGAAGGCCGTATTTCCAGACTACTTGACTTATTAAATGACTATTTCCATCATACCCAAACACACGATGTCGTACCCCATAATTACTGACACTGTGTTGCTACTGGATACGAGCAATCTCACGGAGCAAAGATGATCGAGCATACAGAGTCGTCACCCATCAGCTCGGCATAGAGCAAAGTTGCTGGTACCGAAGTTTTGTAAACCCGGTCTTTTACAGATGGACTAATGTTGCGCTAAAGGTGGCCCAGATTGTCCTATGCAACTCTGGCTTTTGGTGTAAGGTTAGATATGTCATCACTCACACTTACACAACTACCCAGGTAAACGAACAACTTTTCGAATACTTCCAAGGGCTCACCACCAACAAAGAGCGCAGGCATAGGCTCCGTCCAATCTTGAGAAAGTATTTTGCACTTTGATGGTGCGAAGCGTATACCACACTTGTGGAAACTAATCCCCAAGTGCGATCTGACTAACCTGTGTGTTATCACACAGTAAGACGGTATTGTCAACATATTCAAGATTGAATAGACGTTCTTCGGGTGGTAAATCTACACCACCATCACTCATTTCCTTCAGAGTTGTCTCAAGAATGTCATTGATGGCAACGTTAAAGAGGAATAATGAAATCCAGCATGATGAAGACTGTCTTAGTAATGAAAATCCCCAAAAAGAACGTCAAACTACCTTACTTTTGAGGTTAGAATAATGAAAGTAAATAACTTCCATTATGTATAAACTCGCGTATAAAGTCATCTCATGAAGGCATACATTGTCCATCATCAGGATTATGATCAACTCCCTTAAGAGCCTATTTATTTACTGATTTATTCATTCAAATATCTCACTTACAGCTGATTACATTGACCAGGTGGATATCATTTCTGGCACAAGTTTAGTGTATATCTATAAATGCCTAAATTTGTGTTAGTATGCCATTTTTACATACAGGAATTATATTTTCAACCAATCCCTATCATTCATTTACCTACTCATTTTCTCAAAACTTCCATTGTGGTTAGTCTGCCTAAAAAGTAGTCTGTCTGTTCAATTCCATATAGTTGGAATGTCTGTTTAATCAATCAGTAGATAGGCTAAACACTGTTTTACAATCGATTTAATAGACAATGAATCGATAAAGAATTTTTCATCAGATTCCCTTTTCATCATTCATTTAGTATAATTTGGCAACTGTTTAAATCATGGATGTGAAATAACTAAATGGTAAATACGGTGATGTAACATATTCATAATTCATGCAAAAGAATTTAAAAACAACGAATCATTCTGAAACAGGAACTAGATATGTATTGATAAGCTGAGTACACCATCTTCATCTTATAACACTGGAATATTCTATTTGTTTACAAATTATACACACATTTCAATGATTTATATGAAGATTAATGTGTTTTTTATACATTCTATTTTTATGATCACTTTATGTCTTAGAGCATAGGGATAATATTGAACGAGGTTGTTATATTTGGACAACAGCGGAAAGAGAATCGAATCTACTGTCGACACAAAAACAATTTGACGGTAGGAAATTTCAACAAGATGAATTGGATAACTCTAATGATTTTAATACAACAACACAGACTTCAATCATTCCAAAATTATATCCATCATCTGGACAAGCCTTACGTATACTAATTACAACACAAGAACAAGTAATCTCTGTAACTCGTGGATTATTTACTGGACGTATAGGTGATTCACAAATTCCAATGTGGTCGGCTAATCATAATCAAGAAGTACATGGTAAGTGAATTGATTTCTGTTCTCTTTTTCGTCAACTACATTGGCTAAACCTTGATTGATTGTTAGAAAATACAGGGAATATTTTAAGAAGTCAATATAATACTCTATGAAGTAAGCTAACTCTGAGATATCTTATTGTACTACCCAACTCTTGAAGCAGAAGTAGGTGGAACGCGGTTCAAATATGAGGGCGTTTATCTGCTTCAGTGATAGCTAGTCATCGAATTTAAGAGGTGCATATTTTTACAATCTTCATGAGGTGGAAATATGTGTTTTTCTGGCGATTAAATTGTCATCTTGTGGAATAGAACTTGTACAAGTTAAATCGCATTACTGAATAGTAAACTCAGATAAACCTCATCACTTTCTTCATACATCCATCTAAAAAGTGATTAGAAAAAGGGAATAAATGTTATTGTTATAAATTACTAGTCTATAATATCAAGCTGAAGATGTGAATATCTGCATGAGTGTCAATGAATGAGTGACTGAGACTCGAACCTCGCAGTTCAGATTGTTCACATGTTAGCATCTGTATCCTTATACGTAAGTCATAATAAGTGTATGAAGCGTGTTATTTCAAATAAACTATCTGAGCTGGTTGGATAGTTTGGGCTTTCTTTCTATTGAGTGCATTAGGATTCAACGTGATACGAGATATCTTCACTGTCCATGTCTCCTCGCCAATTCAATTTGTAAATTACCCAGTTCCACAGGATTGTTTCAAGCTAGTTCTGTGTAGCTTAGATGTTGTTTAGCACAAAATCAGAATCTCTCGGGATGATACTCCAATATTATAGGCATCACATTCGACAGAACTTAATCCATACACCATGATGACTGAGGGTGGAGTGAAGATTTGGAATACGGACGGATTGGAACCACTGACTACCGAGTTTCCCATACGATGTCTTATCAACTGAGCTAGGAAGCCCGATTACTCACCAGATTTTTATTTCACTTCAGTCACAAGGTGGGGTTTTGTCCAACTACCATGTGAATCTGTGACACGTCACTACCACTTGATCATACTGACTCTGGATGCTTAGTCACGACTTCTCATTCTAATCCAAATAGGGCAAAATGCCCTGCTGATTGAAGTGGAATGAAAAATACGGTCAGCAGTCGAACCTCACAGCTCAGTAGGTAGAGCATCGGGCCGGAAACCCAGTGATTGCTAGTCCGAATCCGGCCACTGTCCAAATTTCCATTTCACCTTCAATTATCACCTAGTATCAGTACTAGTCTGTCAAACCACAACTGCTATCTCAGATAGTCAAAATGGAAACTTAATCTGTAGACGCAATTCTGTGTGTAGGTGAGAGGAATTGTATCTTTTAAGTGAAGTGAATATTCGACAGAGAATTTTCTCCCTCAACAATATCATTCTCTGAATCTGTGCAACAGTTGAAAAATTGCGCAAATCGAGTCGTGACTAAGTGTATAAGATCTGTGTATATGAGTGACCATTTAGTTGTCATCAGTGTGGGATATGGTTTTACCATGTAGTGGTCTGATGTACCACATTTAATTCAACAAGTTCAGGTAGAAGACAAGATAAGAGGCAGTGAAATAAGAAAGCAAGTAATAAACATGACAGAAACTTGTAGAGACAAAGAATGAAAGAAGAATAAAGTTCAATTTGCCCCACTTCGATCGGTTGTGAGCCATATGTCCTGGAATCTCAAACCACCGATTTCATTAGTTGGACAGACTTAAACCGAAAAGTCTGCCTTTACATTCACTGTTCAAAGTAACAGTCAGAGACTTCATAGACTGCTGCCATGTTTTAGTCTGACTTCCCTTAATTCTTCCTCTGGTTGGACCTACTTCAGTTAACACTGCTCTGTAGGGGCAGACGTTGACTAGACATGTGTCATACATGCCCAAGCCATCTGAGTCGATAAAGTTTCACACAGTATAAAACTCTACGCTCGACTTCTATGTTACTGACGTGGCGGTAAGACGACAAGCAGTCTATAGTACGAAAACAATGACCTATTCATATCCTTTGCTACTGATCACCATTGATGTCATCCAAAGAAACCGGTTACTGTACTTATATATACAGTCACTCTCATATCCTTTCGAGGCTCTTTAAATCAACTTATCTCTTCGGCAGATCACTTCATGTCTCAGCATTTAATATACATTGGCGTAGAACTCAATTTAGGATGAATTTATAGTAGTAGTGAATATATTTCACAGTTTTGCGATAATTTAATTACAAGTTTGAACATGGGAAGATAAATTTAAAGAAACTTATGAGAATATGCTGAACATTTTTCAACAGTCTAAACAAAGAGAAAACTTAGATTTCAACCTTTCCTTTGAAGTGTGAATTCAAGTAATTTCAAGATATGTAGATCTACATTGTGTGTTCTGAGACATAAACCTAATACACACTTCTCTAGTTACACTGATGACCAATTAAATTTCAGCTGAATTATTATTATTATTTGTCCCTTGGGTTCCTAGTAAAACATAGGGCTTCAGTAGCACGTCTTCATTACACTCTGTTCTCTGCAATCTTTTGAACCTGACTCGATGACAGGCCACAAGCTCTCATTCCCTCCTCGCACCATCTCCTCCATGTCAACCTCACCTCCGAAGCCCAACTCATCGTTTCCCATCTGCGTTTCACTCGAGGGACTGACGCCTGATGTCCTCAGTCGGCCTTCTCAGTGTATGCCAATTCAATCCATCTCCACTTCCTTCCACTGCATATTTGTTGAGTGATAGCTTCTTTCTTGGTTTGTTCGTTATCGGAGTTCCTCCTTGCTTATTCTTTCTGTCCAGTGTAGGGGGCAGTTGTTGATGAATGTGTGTAGTTTGTTGGAAATCCGTTTCGTAACGCGCCAAGACTCTCAACCACTAAACAGAAGCACTGACTTGACTGAGTTGGTGTTGAAAATCTGGATGTTGTTCAGGCTTTATGCTGAGTGCAGTGCAATGCAGTGCAGTGTAGTGCAGTAGATCTCCTCACTGGTTTCAGGCTAATGAATGCCTGTCATGCTTTTCCGATTCTGACTGGTCTTGACATCCTCGTCTGTGCCACTGCCGCCTGTAGTTGAGACAGTGCTGCCTAGAGAGGTGAAGGAGGCTACTTCCTTTAAGTTTCTCCCGTTGATGGTGATTGGAGCTTGTTGTTGTTGGTGGTGGTGATGGTGTTTGTTGGGTATCTTCATCACCTCCGTCTTCTCTACATTCCCTTGAAGGGTATCCCGTCTTCGCTATCCCCACCCTGCCTCTTCTGTCAACTTGTTTTTGCCTGTACATCTTCGAGTTTGTGCGAAATTAGACACAAATCATCATGAGCGAAATCCAAATCTTCTAGGATCTTTTCCCTGATCAATCAGCGTATGCCCCTCTCCTCGCTCCTCACTGTTTGTTGCGTGATTCGGTCCAGTCAACCACAATCAGGAATATCATGGGTGATAGTAGACGGCTTTGTCTCATTCCTTACTATTTTCACTTCACTTCAAAGGTATCACTGAGCTTCCCATTGTGAATTACTTGTCATGTGGCGTCTTCATACAGTTGTTGAATGAGGTTGATAAGGGTTTGTGGTATTCCGTAGTGTTAAAGCAACTGCCTGCCAAATTACTTGTCGGTTGACGCTGTGGAAGGCCTTTTCAAAGTCGATGAAGTTGAGGTTGAGTTGAGTTGACTGCAATTCTATACTCTGTTCAATGATGATGCGAAAGATAGAAGTAAATCATTCCTTAGTTTAAGGTTCATGACTATTTCATTTAGTTCAGGGTGGTTTTCATCAAGGCTTAACATCAAGTGAATAATCATCGAAAGCTCAGTTCTCCACATGATGATAGTCCGTTGATGAATACTACCCTAAATCTTAGACTAATTTACTTCATGTTAAGCAGTTATTATATTCTTTGGCGAAGATATCCTGAAATTCTAATGAGGAGCTTTGATTTGTGGAGTCAACCAGTCAAAAATGAAGCGAATACCAAAGGGAAGACCTTAGTAGATTAACGCACTGTCCAACGAATCGAAAGGAATCTGCGAGAGCAAATGGGATGGAAGTAAACTCTCCAAACTGTCAACTGCAGAACAGTCAATAATCTACTCCGATATTGTCACCCAGACGAAAACCACGAGCACACTGAGTTTTGCAATGGCTATCACGATATCCTCTTCAAAAGCATCGTAGGCTCTCATGCAGTGGGAACCCATCTCCTCCTTCAGCATCAGCATCATGACAGCAAGATCCAACTCAAAATGAAGGAAAGTAACAATCATATAATGCTACACTATGCACCTACCAAATAATACAGATCGGGAGAAGAAGGAGGAATTCTACAGACAACTACAATCAGTACTCAACAAAAACCCCACTCCAGATGTCGACATCAAAATTCTAATGGGTGGGATGATATGAATGCCAAACTGGGAGCAGACAACACAGTGAGAGAATTCATCGTGGGTCGAGAGGCAATCAGTGAAATGAAGAATGAGAATGGAGAACTGTTTGCAGACTTCTGCACGTTTAACCATCTGGTGATTGGAGGTAGTGCATAAAATCACAAGGATGTTCACAAAGTGAGTGAAATGGATTTCACCAGATGCACACACCACACTTAAAATCAGATTGACTTCATTTGAATGTGACGAAAGTGGAGATGCAGCCTACTGGACACAAGATCGGGTGAAGAAGAGTAGTAGATTTCGGTTCAGACCATAACACTATCTGGTGTAAGGAGCCTTCTTTCAAAATCAAGTCGAAAGAATTCGACGAAGAAGTTGGTGGTTGGCCACAGTTGAAGTTGAACACCTAGAACCGAAACTGAAGGAGGAGACTACAGAGGACATCTTCACGTCATCAGCTATCAGGAAAACATGGTAGACATTGATCAATATCGAGGAGGAAACGTGTGTGGACGAACACTGGAACTCTTTGAAAGAGACGTGGAAGGAAACCTGCATAACCGTGTTAGGAAGGAGGAAGACAAGGAATGGATCATCACGAATACATGAAA